TAATTTTTGATATGAATTTACAATGGAGCACATGGCATTCAAAACAGCCTGCGATCTGATTACAATATATTGAGTTTAAAAATAATATGCCCAGGCGCAAACTGATTGCATTAAAGATTCGTCATCTATTGCTTGATTATTTAAAATACTGGGGTAAAAAAAATCTTGTAATTTTTTGGAAAACATTTTATCTAACAATAACATGAATTCATAATATGATTTCCATACTTTTAAAATAAGCTTTGGGATATTATAGCTTCTAATTTCTAATGTCTTCTCTGCATCAATTATGGCCACTTGATTAATTGGCAGGCACATCATGAATGTTGTGGTAAAAAATTAATCGACACCTTGAAAATCTTCATTAATTTCACAAATTTTATCCTCAAATATTCTAAAAAAAAAATAAAATATAATAAAATTATTAAATTAGATAACCAGAAAGCCTTCACAGAGGTTTTAACAATTATCAATAAAATGGTTTTATCATAATCTAGATTTCAAAACTACTATGTGTATGTAAAAATAATTTTGGCCAAGACATCAAGTATACTTACCTTCAAATTGTTTTAGAGGCTAATTATGCAAACTTACGATTTCGAGTCTATCCAATGAGCTGTTACCCCCAAGAAAGTTGTTTCATTTAAGATCCACCTCTTTTATAAGGAGGAAAAAATATTTACTGTAAGATGGAAATGTAAATCTTATTTTCTCCAATTCCGTATCTTCTAGATACTGATAACAATCCCATGTTTTATGGTCTGAAATAAGAACCAAATATAAAATATGAATATCAACTCGGCTCAATTTTATCGATATATTAAATAGTTTCACAGATTTCAATAAATATTTTTGTGCGGCTGAGGAGCGGCGTTAAAGAGGATCCTCTCGTTTTAGCGGTGATCCATGTGTTTTTTCGAAACAAAGTGTAGCCGTGTTCACTTACAAAACGGGTGCACACCAAAATATGGTATTTCACCTAATAAATAATTATACCGTCAATCTTAATTATTTTTATTTATTTTAAAATTGAAAATACTTAATTATAGAAAAATCAACTACTATACTTTCGTGAGAGCTAATCGACCTTTTGGTTAAATCGTATTACATCATTTGCAAAGATTTTTGTGAAAAATTATCGACAAACGCCGTAAGTAAAAATGCAATTTTAACAAAATTTGGGAAACAGAATACCAGCTGAATGTAACATTCCATTTTTTTGTGGATTGAACCTACAGAAATTCAATGATTTAATTGGTAAAAACATTCTTTCACGCCAAATAATTTCCCATTTACAGATTCATCAATATGCATATTATCAATTAATTTTTATTTTAATGCAAAAACAAATTATTAAATTATTTAGTATACAAAAAATTTATTACTGCATAAATAGTAAAAACATAAATGTTTATATTACTATGATTATTAAATATAAGCTATTCAAGGTTTTAAATTAATAAAATATTGTAAATTTTTCTTTCTAATCTGATTTTGGTAAGGCGAATGTGCCAATAAAAAGTATGCAGCCATTAACCAAATCCATTATAAAATATAGAAAAGGCTTGTTAGCTATAAACCGAACGGGGTCTTGTACCGATGTAACTCCGATCACTCCACCAGTAGCGGCGCCGGCTTCGCTCCCTTCCTCATTAACTTCTATGAAGGCTTTATGATACATCTGGGTCAAAGTCAGTTTTTCTTTAGTATTACCAGAAATACCGGAAAGATCCGCGTTGTCACTGTTATATAATATAAATTATAATCACTAATTTATTTATAATAAAATACCCAAATATATCATGCGTTCCTAGTTCTTGTAAAGTTTCTTTGAGTTCTGTCTCGTAGCCAATCTTGAATAAGGGAATAGATATCCAAATTTTTTTTTCCAAGTGCAAATCCTTAACTAGCTTATTCAACCTTTCCGGATTCAAGTCTTGGATAAATTGTTTCAAACCATTTTGCCGGGGTAATACGAAAAACATGCCCAATTCTTCATCCTTATAATCTAACCTCAATACCTCCACTTCCTGTCCGACGTGGTCCGAAAAATTGATTTTAGCATAGTTGACTGATTTAAAGCCTTGCATCATAGGTATTTCTTGCGTATGACCGTCGTCACTTATAAAGGGCATTTTTTGCGTCAAGCTTTTTTTTTAAATGTTAGTAAAATTATATAATTTGAATTTATAATTAAGCGTTCCTCCCTTCAACTCGTAGCTAAGAAATGTAAATAGATATAAGGTATATGTATATATATATATATATATATTGTTAATATATAACCTATGATCAAATTTTTCGTGCCAATCTCCTTTAAAATAAATCGTGCTAGTCAATACCATACGAGTAGTGCTATTCAAACTATTCGGGGGCAATAAATTTTTTATCATACCTTTTGTAGCGTGGGCCACATCCTCATTTATAACTTTTTCTGCTTGTCTTGGATCTTTCGCAATGTTCAAATTGTGAACTATGGCCTTGTACGTTCCCTTAATGACTTCCAAATAATGTGAATCCAGTGGAAACATGTTATCAGGATATAAACCATTCCCAATATCAAGCGTTACGTGTTTGGACAATTTGGTTAAGGCCGCGTTCATTTCTTTAATTGTTATATGAAGCATTTCCCGATTTTTGGGTGTCAACGAAGTGATGTCCTTCAAAATTTTATCGTAATGCAAAGTCTGCGCTAATTGAGTGAAAGTTTTAGCTTTGGATCCGAATAGAAGCATTGAAAGGGCCTGAGAAGCATTGAACGGCGAAATTATTACATTTTTTTTCTCACCCTTTGTGTCATGTAATAGTAAAGTCTTCAAGACGTCTATCGTAAATTGATTGTCAGCACTCGCTAGATGAGACAGGTTAGAATCGTGAGCTGGATGACCAACACATTCAGGTTTTATTTTCATTTTTATATTTTAATTATTTGAAAATATTTTAATTATTTGAAAGTTTTTCAAAATTAAACTCAAAAAATGAAAAAATTTTTTTTTAAACTTAGTTTATAAAAAATTGATACCTTTATAATATATCTCTTAATTACATGTTTATTTTATTTATCATTTTAATTTAATAGTTAAAATATTAAGGTTAGATGTCAAAGGTAAAAAAAAATTTACATATGAATTTCACTAGATATATTCAAATATTATTTTTCAGAAAGAGGTGTAACTATATAACCAAATTTATTTTTTAAAAAAAAAAAATTATATTGCCACAAGAATTAGAGTTTAAGAACTTGAATACAAAATTTAATTTAAATAGTTAACTTAATAGAGTAAATCAACCCTTTTTATTTGCCCTAAAGAGTGACAAATAAAACTCATTTGGTATAGGCAATATATAAAGTTTGAATCTCAACAACCAACAATATTTCTCCTCATCCTCATCTATATGCATGCTTGTGATTATATATGTCGTGATTGAAATGGGAATTTGGAAATCATTTACCGAGAGCGATTTTTAAAAATATCTGATTTAACTAGAAAATGTATTCCAACATGTGTAGAATATAACCTATCCTATTAATTTTTAGATAATTACGCCATAGTATTTATAAATTGAGAACCTATCAAAAAAAAAATTTGGGTGTGTTTTGTGGAAACCCATGATTAAATTTAGATCATAGAGGAAGTCAAGGACCTATAAAATTTTAAAACATAAGCAGCAATTTTGTCTTTCTTTACTAAAATTTAAATCATTTTTAAATATCAGAATGATTAGTGCTGTAAAGTTACTTCAAAAAAGAAATGTGATACTCGTTACATTAAAAAAATAGAAACGCTTTACAGTTATTCGTTACTTATGAAGAAACGCGTTAGTAGCTGTAAGCGTTACTCGTTACTTAAATAAAAATACTAAAATATTATTTATAATAATTCATTTTATTATATTATAAACGAATAACGTTTTACGTTACCGTCACTCAAAAAAAACAGGTTACTCGGTTATATATTAAATAAGTAACGAATAGAATTCCTTTTCCTCAACTAAGGTAACGGCATTGGTGACGACGTTACTTTCATCCACATTTCTTTGCAACACTAATGATAAATATAAACTTTAAAATATAACATTATTTTAAAAAATGATAATAAAACATTAGTAATAAAATGAAAATTTTTTGCATAAAATAAAATTAAAAAGTTTTAAAGGGTTCGGGATCCTGTTTAGTAATATTAAAATAGTTAAAATTATGAGACCTGGTATTATCGTTCCTTCCATACAAAAAAAAAGTAGAATTTCATTTTAATAAAACATTCTAAAATCATCAATATAATTCTAATGAATGCTTGAACAGATGAGTTCATTTGAGAACAGGAAGGACTCTTTATTCCTATTAATAAGCCACCCGTCTTCTTTTAACTCTTTCAGACCGAAAGTTTACCACATTTTCACCTGTAGTCTGTAGTTGGAGTTAAACCCCCCCCCCTCCTTCCCCTATTAAAAATGCGAAATTAATATATTTTCCCTTATTTATTTTTATCTCGACCCACATTTAAATAAAAAGTGGAGCTTGGAATCAGTCGGATAAAATATTAGATACACTTAATTTTTTTTCTCCGATCGTAGATTCTAATTCAAGCTTATAAATTATAAAAAAATTTGTATCTTAATTCATCTCTATTTCCTTAGTAAAATATTTTTATTAAGGACCGGGGCACGATGGTCTCTAATCTACATCACAAAACATATATTTTGAACCCTTAATTTCCTTTAAATTAAGTGTTTCCTTTGTGTCTTGCAATTTGAAATTCCTGGACATATTTATCATAAAAAAAATTTTTTATTTCATTTATTGTTTACATTTTTAAATTTAAATGTCCATATGTTGAAAAAATAATACTTTGTGGGGTTAGTTTTCTATATATAAAAAAATTTACATGCTATATAAATTTAAATATAACTTACAATTTTACTATTTATGGGTTAAGGTCATTAAAACAAAAAGGTATATAAGTATTATTTTTTTTCTTCTTCTTTCTCCTCCCTAATCCTTACCCAGGTATGATAAATGTGCCTACGAAAAGCATGCTGCCGTTATCCATATTAATTATAAAATATAGGAAAGGTCTGTCAGCCAAAAATTGTAAAGGTATTTGTATCGATCGGACACCAACTACAGCTCCTGAAGCGGCAGCCGCCTCGCTTCCTTCCTCGTTGACTTCTATAAACGCCTTATGATACATCTGGTTCAAGTAAAGGTTTTGCCCCACACCTGAAGCATTCGTAATACCTGAGAGATCCGCATTTACTCTGTGAAAAAAGATTAGTTATTCAAATTTTAAATCGGTAAATAAAAATTAAATAAAATTTTTATTATTGATCCATTGACTCCTTCCAATCAATCCCTTAACATTCTGGAGAACAAGGAGCTTCTAAAAATTGCAAAATATTCAGAGATATCCCAAGATCACTTATTCATTCCCATCATTTCCACTACCTTGACTACCTTTGGGAATCGTGCTCTTTCTTTCTTCAAGGAACTTGGATCGCTAATCCGCAAACTAACAGATGAATCTCGTGAAGGCTTCTTCTTAAGACAAAGACTCACCATAGCAATTCACAGGGCCAATTACATCAGCTACAGCAGCCTCATCTCACATGATGATTAGAATATATTTTATATAATTTTAATCGCTTAATGAATAATTTATAGATTCTAAATTGAATTATAAATGTAGAATCGACAATTTATTTCTTTAAATATTAATTTTGTATCAAGATCTTATCAGTTTCATTTATCAAAATGAATAAAATTTTGAAAATTAAAAAAAAAAAATGAATAATGTATTATAAATAAAAAAGAATTTATAAATAATACCCAAATACGTCCACCGATCCCAGGGCTTGCAAGGTTTCTTTGAGCGCTGCCTCGTAGCTGACCTTAAATACGGGAATAGTCACCCTGATTTGTTGTTCCAAGCGCAATTCTTTTACAAGCCAATCCAACTTTTCTTGGGTTAAATTTTTGATAAATTGGTCCAAGCTGTTTTGCGGGGGTAATATGAACAACATGGCCAAGTTCTCATCTACGTAATCTAACCTCAATACCTCCACTTCGAATGGAATACTATCAGGTTCGGAAATATTAATTTTACCGTAAGGTGCCTCTTTGACGCCTTGCATCATGGGTATTTCTTGCGTGTGGCCGTCGTCACTCGTAAAGGGTATTTTTTGCGTCAAACTTTTTTTAAAAAACAATTATTAATCATTATTTTTATTCTATAATAATTTGAGTTTAATAGATTTATAGGAAAATCATAAAATATTTAGAGCCAGGATTTCAAATTTTTTTCCCCACACATTTTCAAGCCCGTTCAAGGATTTGTTTATAGAAACTGAGTATGCCTTGGGTATTTTTTTAAATATTTTTGATAATGGCCCGGCTCGAATTCTTAAGATATCGTTATTTTGAATAGTTATAGCGTCACATTAAAAAAAATATAGAAAAAATAACTGAAAATATTAGCAGCATATGGATGTTAAATGATATTATCGATCGAATCGCAAAGAAATACATATATTTAATTATTGAATATAACAATATAATACATATATTGGTAAAACCTAGGATCAAATTTGTCCTTCCAGTCACCTTTAAAATAAATTGCACTGGTTAGGACTAAACGGGTAGACTCATCCAAGCTATTAGGTGGCAAAAAATTTGTTATCCTACCTTTAGTAGCGTGCGCAACGTCTTCGTTTATAGTCTTCTCCGCGTTCCTTGGATCCTCCATAAAATTTAAGTTCTGAATTTTGGCCTTGTACAGTTCTTTGATGATTTTCACATAATTAGAATCAAGTGGGAACAGATTATCGGGGTATAATCCATTCCCAATATCTAGGGTGACATTCTTGGACGACAATTTGGTTAAAGCGTTACTCATTTCTTTGATAGTTTCGTGAAGCGTTTCCTGATTTTTGGGAGTCAGCTGAGAGGTGTCCTTCAAAATTTTATCGTAATGCAAAGTATGCGCTAACTGAGTGAAAGTTATGCCTTTAGATCCTAATAGAAGCATTGAAAGAACCTGAGAAGCAATGACCGGCGAAAGTATTAAATTTTTTTCCTCGCCCTTTATATCTGATAATAGTAAAGTTTTCAAAACATCGATCGAAAATTGATTGTCAGCACTGACTTGAAGTGAAAGGTTGGAATCGTGAGCTGTATGACTATGACAACTTTCAGGCTTTATTTTCATTTTCGTATTTTAATGGCTTAAAATTTCAAAATAATATATATTTTTTTTAAATAAAATACATATCTTTTTTTTAAAACTAATATACAAAAATACTGATTTGTTTATATTACTCATGTACATAGGTCTACATCAATTTCTCATAATTAGATGTTTATTTCTCTCTTTTTCGAATTTATTTGCATCTTTAGTAAATAAATTGTTTAAGTATGCCTCAAAGGTATATATATATATGTCTAAATCATGTTGCAAAAAGCTTTAATTTTTTAAAAGCTTAATTATTGATGGAAAGTAAATTGAAAAATTATAAAATAATATAATAAATCTTATAGAGAAAATCAATCATATTTATTTTTAATTGATATATAGAAAAGTGGTATAGATAAATTTCACTTTCGTCACATAATTTATAAAGTACTTAAATCTATAACTTCTAAGCATTGCTATCTGCCTGCTATCTGCATATAATCTAATTGGAAAAAAAATGGCTGATGATAAACATGGTAAAATAAAGTGTTTTCAGAACTATCAAGTATAATCTATGAATATAGAGCGTTATGATGATAACGCTAGAGAACATATGTTGAGCGGTATTTTTCTATAATTATCGACAATATGAAGATAGCCGGGGTGGTGCAGTGGTTTGTGATGAAGGCTTGTAAACCGAAGTTCCCAGGTTCAATCCTTGTAAGGAGCTAAAGGTTTTCGGGTTTTTCTTCGATGGTGTATGGCTTTAGACATATGATATGATAAATTTCTGAGCTGAGAAATGCTACCCCGGTCACCGACAGGCTTGGACAGTTGGGTGCTAGGATACTTGTCCAATAAACCAAAAAAGATGGCCAGCTGAAACGTGGGTCAGATGATAACGATTTCTTGGCCAGCGCTAGGATGATGGGATGATGGTGACCTCTGGGCCGTTCAAGCTCAATGTCTACCAAGTTACAATAGACTTGATAGATACTCCGGTGGGAGATCCATCGATATTGATACCAGTAGATAAGTGAAGGAGCACCAGAAAAGGTGAAATCTAAAGAGAAAAAAAAATCGACAATATGATGAATCAGCTATGATTTTTATAGCGTTAAATAACGCAACGCTTGAACATAACGCGTTTACTATAAATGAGACTTAAGACTTTTAAAAAAGGTAGTAACATTTGAAAAGCTTTGTAGTCAACTCTAGTTATGATTCTATCATACATTAGTAAGATGTTTATCTTTCAATTTGTATAATAATATATCTATCGATGAAAATAAAAGAGAAGAAAAAAAAGGGTGGCAATCTTTTTATATTTTCATAAGTATAATATATAACGTTTTGGGAATTTTGGTAACCCCCTTACGCGTCGCGACGATTAATATAAAATTTTGCATAACTTCGCCGCGAATTATAGATGTTGATTATTTTTCATTTTTACAGAGCAACTTAATGCAACACGTTACTTTTATTGAGTTACATCCGACGGTTTAGCATAAATATTTGTATCGGAATTGTTATGAAATTCATAGAGTTGATATATAGGTAAATCTCGCGTATATCAGTAAATGATTTGAAAAAAATTGAAAGATTTTTAATACCATGGATTGATTCATAAACTCCATACAACATTGCAGAAATGTTTAGCAAATAAATTGATAAAAATCTTATTAAAAATACCCCAAAAAATGTTTATAAACAATAATTTGTAATGATTAAAAATAGCCAGAGTCAAATGAAATATATTTATAATAAAACATTGAAGTAGCAAAAACGAATACCGAAAAAAATGTTTTTATTTTTATCCCCTTAATAAAAATTAAATTTGCTTTATAATTATTTGACAATTGTTCTAAGTAGAGAAATCGTAGCAGGAAAAGTGTTCCTTATCACATCTATTGTTCGAGGGTGAGATGAGAACTCAACCACTCTATATTTGGTTTGTGTATCCATCCGCCAAAATAAAAATGTCATGTCTAGTGTTGTTAAACGGCTCGATTTGAGCCGATTTTTAAGAACGGCTAACTTATTGTTTTATTCAGAAAAATAATATTGCAAGCCCTAAAGATTTTGCTCATAATTGATACAAAGGTTTGAAAATCTATTAGCGAAATCTTGAAGCTTAGACAATATTTTTCGGGCTAAAATATTGAGTTAGCCGTAATAACATGACTTATGTCGCTCTCTAAATTAGCGGTTTTTTTAACAGATATTTTATTTTAATATAAGTGAGCATATGGGTATTATTTTTTTGCGAACATTTATATAACTTCTTGATAAGCCTCCCCTTCATCTTCTTGGCCATATAGGTTTTTCTAACCAGGCTGAAGGAAGGGCCAGAGCTGGTACAAAATGCTAAATTAACTTCGTATAAAAAATTTCCATAGAACTTTAGTGATCTACCCTTGCATCAATGTCATAATATCATATGGGCCTCGCTAAATCAACGCTATAATAGGCTAGAAATTGTAAGTTATCCATGTGAGGTCTTTTGAACAAACCTGATTCTTTGCGACTGTGGTATTACCAATTTTTTTTTAAAAAAATTCGGAAATTTTTTAAATATATCTAAATTTATCAATTTTATGTTGAATTTTTTGTGTAAAATAAAAATCGATTTTATTTATAGAAACTTGACGCCATACAACATATATCTTATATTTTGAGTATTTATAAAAATGATTTCTATATTTAAATAAATTGGGAATTTGAGGTTCTGGCAGGGCCGGCCTTTAAAAAATAGGCCCGATGCAATTATTATATATATAGTGGAAATTATATAGAATCGCAATGTAATTCTTTATTTTAATTTAATAAAGGTTTCCTTAATCTAAGCTATCCATCATGTGTTTCTAACAGCCTTGAATCATTATGTTACGGTTTTAAATCATGAAATATTATATATTTTATCATCATAAGAAATGGTCATAATATTATAATATAATATACAATTGTAATGAAGGTTATATATATATATACCTAAATAAATAAAATACAAAAGTATCTGTTTTTTATCTCTCTCCTAATCCGATCTAGGTATGACGAATGTTCCGATAAAAAGTATGCAGCCATTAACCATATCCATTATAAAATACAGGAAAGGTCTGCTAGCAGTAAACTCTTTAGGTATTAGCATCGCTCGTAGAGCGATCAGGGCTCCAGTAGCGGCTGCCGCTTCGCTTCCTTCTTCGTTGACCTCTATAAATGCTTTATGGTAAACCTGGCTCAAATACAATTTTTGCTCCATATCTCCTTTCGAAGCACTTGTAATACCGAAGAGATCTGCGTTGTTTCTGTTAAAAGGTACATATTATTTAAATTTTAATCACTAACTTGAAAAAAAAAATATTTATAAGTCATATAACATCGACTGAGTACTATATTGCAAAATGCTTTTTTTTATATATAAACGAATTCTTTCTCTTCAATATGCCACATTCTTATTATATGTATCCACAATAAAAATGTTAAAATATAATTGAGATTGATCCATTATTTGGCCTTTAAGATGCTCTTTTTAAGATAATTTTTTTTAAAAAAGAAAATGGATATCAGCTGACAATAAAAAAAAATACCCAAATATGACAACCGATCCTAATGCCTGTATGGTATCTTTGAGTTTTGTCTCGTACTCGATCTTGAATACGGGAATAGCCACCCAGATCTCTTTTTCCAAACGCAAATCTGTAACTAGTCGGTTCAGCCTTTCCGGAGTTAAGTCTTTGATAAATTGGCTCAAACCGTTTTGTGGGGGTAACACGAAATACATGGTCAATCTTTCGTCTACGTAATCTAACCTCAATACCTTCACTTCGTATTCGACACGGTCATGTTCGGAAAAGGCAATTTTGCTGTCCTTGCATCATGAGTATTTGGTGCGCGTGGCCGTCATCACTCGTAAAGGGTATTTTTTGCGTCAAACTTTATTTATTTTATTTATTTATTTTTAAATGTTAAATAATTGATTAACCACCTAAGCAACTGGTGGGCATAATCAAAGACGAAACCAAATAGCAATGAATACGGATAATTTAAATTATTCGAATAATACAAATGAAATATTTGATAAATTATTCGTGTTCAAATATTATTTTTTTCAAAAAGAGGTGTAAGTGTATAACCAAATTTATTTTTTTTTAAAAAAAATTATATTGCCACAAGAATTAGAGTTTTAAGAACTTGAATACAAAATTCTAATTTTAATAGTGATTTTTTTTAGAGTAAATTAATCCTTTTTATTTGCCGTAAAGAGTAAAAAAATTCATTTGGTATAGGCAATATATAAAGTTTGAATCTCAACAACCAACAATATTTCTCCTCATCCTCATCTATATGCATGCTTGTGATTATATATGTCGTCATTGAAAAGGGAATTTGGAACTCATTTACCGAGAGCGATTTTTAAAAATATCTGATTTAATTAGAAAATGTATTCCAACATGTGTAGAATATAACCTATCCTATTAATTTTTAGAAAATTCGGCCATAAACATTTGCGCATTTATAAATTGAACCTTTCAAAAAAAAAATTTGGGTTTGTTTTGTGGAAACCCATGATTCCGTTTAGATCATACAGGAAGTCAAGACCTATAAAATTTCAAAATAACAAGCACCAATTTTGTCTTTCTTTACTAAAATTTAAATCATTTTTATATATTAGAATGATTAATGCTGTAAAGTTACTTCAAAAAAGAAATGTGTTACTCGTTACATTAAAAAAATAGAAACGCTTTACAGTTATTCGTTACTTATGAAGGAACTACTCGTTACTTAAATTAAAATACTAAATATTATTTATAAATTTTCATTTTATTATATTTTAACGAATAACGTTTTGCGTTTTGCGTTACCGTCACTCAAAAAAACACGTTACTCGGTTATATTTTAAATAAGTAACGAATAGAATTCCTTTTCCTCAAATAGGTAACGGCATTGGTAACGACGTTACTTTCATCCACGTTTCTTTGCAACACTAATGATAAATACAAACTTTAAAATACAATATTATTTTAAAAAATGATAAT